AAGAAGAGAGAAGAGAGGTTTGGTATCTAAAGATCATAAAAAATACAAATTTTGTGCGTGTTTTACCAAATCGGGCATGCTCTCCAGAATGCTCAGGATCTCTGGATCACTCAGCTTATTGTGGGAAAGGTCAAGGACGCAAAGTTTTAAACACTCCTTTAGATGCTGAATGTCTTCCACGGTCTCTAAGTGATTGTGGGCTATCTGGAGCGTGTTCAGGACTGGCAGACAGGCTGGAAGATGAAGTCAGCAGAAGTAAGCAACAAAGAAAGGCATCAAAATGTTTCTTGCCCGTAATTTAAAATTTTAGAACCTCCCCCAGGGGAAAGTGTTGGGCATAATGACATTTAGAAAGACCCCTCGTGCGGCATTCTCACAGAGGTTTTCAATGGTCTTGATGTAATTGTTGCTGAGGTTAAGAGCATCCAATTTCTGCAGAGTTTCTAGGTTCTCAATTTTATGAAGCAAGTTCACTTGCAAGAAGAGGCAACGCAATTCGGTTTGGGCCTCCAGGTTCTCGATTTTCTGTATTCCATTGCACTCCAGCCAGAGACAACGCAGCCCCGTGTACTCTTCTAAGTTCTCGATGCGATCGAAACCTGGCAAGAAGAAGAGGGTGTCAATTAAGCTCCTCCATGCACATAAGAGAGACAGGGGTCACTCGGGTTTTTGCCTACCTGCCTAGCATCCACACCTTCCTCTGGTGACAGTACTGCCACTTTTCCTTGAGGAACCTCCTCTCTGATAACTACCCCATGGCTCTCAGAGTCACAATGATTCATTCTGGATTGGTCATGCTGAGCCAAGTGGAGGCCAACTTAGATGAATCCTGGAGAGTATGGTTAGCTCCATTGGAAAAAAGGCAGTCTTTCTGCGTCAGTGGCCAGTCTGGCAAGGGACAGCTTAGCACTGCAGCGGCCACCTTCCCTTCGTGGTCGAGAGTGAATGGACGTGAGGGGTGACCCTCCTGAAATGAATTAGAGGAAACCAGGGCGAAGAAAAGGAGAGAGACAGCTTTGCGAAAATACATTATGAGCGCTGGGTGCCGCGTCCTCTTTCTACCCTACTGTGTGACAAGGTCCGGAGATGGGGACAGAGGCTTCAAGGAATGCATCGTCAAGAACGAGGACGTGGCATGTGTTTAGGGATAATTGGTTTCATAGGAACGATCTTATTAATAGGGGGAATTTGGGTAGCACAAATTCTAGTACGTGTAAATGCTGTACAAATGGATTTCCTCAAAATTGCCTCAAAATTGGCTCTGAGGAAAAAATAGTAAATTCCCCACGTATGGAATCAGCTCGAGTCACCCTGTGATGTGTCCAGAATGCATAAACCCTTTATTTGAAAAATTATTAAGAGAAATTCCTTTTGACGCGCCTCTTAAAGATGTTATGAATAAATTATAACAAGCTGAATTACTAGAACCAGTTTATACTCCTGTTCCCATGCAGTTAGTAGAAAAATTAGTAAAGGATAAGAAATTTACTCATAAGCCTGTGCCTACTATAGAAGGGCCTCCTTTTGTGGCCTAGTGGATAAATAGAAAACTCTGGTATCCACCTAGGGGGGCTAATAGTATGAAAAGATTACCTGATCTTCCTTTGTCTTATTCAGAAGCTTATAATAAAGATAGTATACATGTAGTGAATAAAGATAGAATTCATGTGCCTTATAGTAGTTTAAGTTTCATAGAAAGGCTGGCTAGGTCGGGATCTCCTTGGTGCTTAAAAACAAAGGAACTGAAACTTAGCTTATGAAAGCAGCTTTGTAAAACTGATTTTTATAAATATTTTCCTCATTACTGCACCAAGGAAACTTTTGAACAGCTATGAGAAAGGTTCAGCTTGAACTTTAGATATAGTATAAATCAAATAGCATTTAAAAGATTTCTTCAGGCAGAAAGAAGAACAATGTCTGCCCACAAGCCAATGCTTGCTGTTATGAATACATCTATCTATCACCTTTACTTAAATCAAACTGTATCTTACGTAATAGATATAAGAATTAAAAGTTTAGATTGTTCCATCAGGTAGTTCTGTTCTAATGATTGAGAGAAAAATGTACTAGTTAATCATGAATATTAATAATAATATACTCTATAAGATTTTCTGCTTCGCCTAACCACAGAAATTTAACTCCCTGCTACCTTAACCACCAAGTATAATCAAATGCCAAAATAAAAAGTATAAAAGTTGTACTCAAATCACAATAAAACGGAACAGTGTCACATCGCCTCTGAGTTGTGTAGTCGACTGTCTCCCGCGCCGACGCCTTGCCCACCTTCGGGGCCCCCTGGATCTGTCGTGGCTGGACCGCGGCAGCTGGGATCCAGCAGAGCCTGAAGCTAATACAAACTGCAGGTCTTCTTTTGTTTTTCAGTTTTATAAGCCAAATTGAAGGTTAGGAAAATAAACAATTGACAGTTTGACTGCAACCTCTCTAGAGACTCTGAGCCAAAACCACCCAGCTAAGGCATTTCCAGATTCCTGGCCCTCAGAAACAGTATGAGATGACAAATTTGTTTTAAGTTGCTAAGTTTGGAGATAAGATCTTCCACAGCAGTTTATAACATGGGCACATCTCTCTCCTTGTTCTACCTCTTTGACTCTTTCTACTGGTCTAACCTACTGCGTCTTCTTCTCCCCACCTCTTAGGATCTGCCCTCCTAAGTCATCTTATCACTACTATACCTGGACATTGGATGGAGAATTTTGGAGGGAACAACATGGAGGTGAGGAGACCAGCTAGGAGTCGTTCAAATCATTAAGGTATTTGTGGTGCTGGACCTCCTCACAGTGGTTGTCCTATCCTCTAGGACAGTAGTCTCCAACCCTTTTGTTACCAGGGACCAGAGCTCCTATGAGAACTTAATGCCTAATGATCTAAAGTGGAGCTGAGATGGTGATGCTAGCACTGGGGAGCGGCTGCAAACAGAGATGAAGCTTCGCTCACTTGCCTGCCACTCATCTCCTGCTGTGTGGCCCGGTTCCTAACAGGCCACGGACCAGTACTGGTCTGTGGCCCGGGGGGTTGGGGACACCTGCTCCAGGACACCAAAGGCATCTTTATTATATCCACCTCTGTGTCTCTAGCACTGAGTACAGTGCCAGGCATACAGAAGGCCCTCAGTAAATATTTACTTAAATAAACAAATGAACATGCGGAGGATTGATGAGGCAGGTGGGCCATACTCAGTTCAACTCAGACTGGGCGCTATTCTCTTTTTCATTGAGAGAAATAGCCCTGTCTGTGAACCTGAACTTTTATATGTGAATACCGGACACCAACTCGGAGCCCTTGGATGCCACTGTTCATACTTCTCCATTTTAGAGGCATCGCATGACCCTTGCTCTTTGTTTTCCACGCCAGTTTTCAATCCTTTACAACATATCCCTCCCAAGCCCAAAGCATTCACAACTAGCTTCTGGCTCAAAAAATTAGTAAGTCTTTGGAAAACTTAAACAAAAGTAACAATGTGTTTCCCTTTACAAACTCGAGTCAAGTAAGACTTTTTCTTTAAAGTGATATTGTTGCTTTTCTATAAATCTCCGCTAAACTCTGATTCTATTGTAATATAATTTGAGAACTCCAGATGATCCATGCAAGCAATTTCTTTACACCACCAGAATCTTTCCACCTGATATGAGACATCTCTTCCAGATCCTTACCTTTAAAATGTAAATACAGCGTATCATTCAATGCTGGGGTAATATAAAGCTTGTGTTGCTTGCAGAGTTTTTGCAGGAATCTTTTAGTCATTCTGTTAAATGGAAAACATGAACAAGACATTTATTTGTCGGTTCTAAAATATATTCCAAAAATTCTTCACCATATCTATTCCTTCCCAAAATTCCACAACATCTTATATGCCTTTAACTTCTTCATTTTTTATTTTTTATAGCTTTCAGGGCCGCATCTAATATTATTACTTTCAGCATTCTTAAAAATTGCAAGGCATGTTCTAACAAAAATACTTTTAATAGTGTCATGTCATCAAGAACTACTGGTGTTTCTCTTTCCAGGTTTTACATTAAAGTTTGATACATTGTGGTTAGTTGTGCCACAGAGGCAGTGCCATCCTGACTCCACTGCTACAGACACTGGGCTGACTATTTAATCTGCATGAACCTCAATTTCCTTATCTGTTGAAGGGGTGATTACACCATCTACCCTACTCGGTCAATGTGTACTATAACTGGCAGCACCATACCCACATACCTGGGGCTATGATTTTCCTTGTCATCTCTGTGGTGTTCTAAACAACCATCTGACCTGCTATCACCACTCTGTTTCTGCTCGCTTTGGTAGGATGTGTCAGAAGGATGCGCACATTTTTCCTTAGGATTATTAATTTCTGTAAAATAAGAGGTTGGTTCTATGGAGATCAAAATATGTGTTAAAAATTTCCAATTTCAACTTCACAACTATTCAATTTTAGAACAGAAGTACTCTTTAAATGTATAGAACAGAAGTACTCTTTAAATGTATAACAGTTTTTAAAACACACTGATAAGGACTATGGAAATTTCACTTTTGGATAGATCCTCTATAAAAGTTCTTGTGCAAGCACACAGGAGATGTGTAGATTCATTTCTGTTACATTATTTGTAACAGCCCAAAACTCTTAACAGTGCAAATGTCCATCCATAGGAACTAGTTAAATAAAAACAATGGATTATTATGCTGTCTTTGAAAAGAATGCACTGGAGCTACATCGGCAATATGGCAAGTTCTCAGAAACATACTTAGAGTTGAAAAAAGCAAGTTTCATAATAAGCACAGGATACTAAATACATGTACTAAAAACACACAAACCAATACTATGCATTGTATAAGGACATTGTGTGTGTGTGTGTGTGTGTGTGTGTGTGTGTGTGTGTGTGTGTGTGTGTGTAGAGAGAGAGAGAGAGAGAGAGAGGTGATGGAAAGGATCCATACAAAATTCTGGAGAAGGGGATGAGACTAGAAATGGAGGGGCAAGGGAAGGAATGTCAAATTTATCTGAAATGTTTTCTTTCTTTAATTACAAAATACTTCAATATGATAAAAATGTTAATCATTTTCAGTTCTTAGTGGTGATACATGGGTGTTTGTTATAACCTATGTTCTTTTTAAAGTTCTCAAAAGAAAAAAACATACAAAAAGAAACAAAAATGGTGGAAATAAATACATTCAAATGCACTTAATTTTTTTAAAGGTCGATCAAAATTGGCTAATTCAAATGCCCTTTATCTTAAAGGTCACTGGCTTCTGCTCTATGTGTTTGTGTGATCTGCGGAAGGAGACTAAACGCTTCCTGTGTGCCACTGTTCTTATGCTTCCCCACTTCCCTCTGCATACAATGCCCAGCCACAAGAGATACCAGATAAAGGTTTGTGAAATAAAGAATAGGTGCTCAATATACATAATAATCGATTGATTATATCATTAACAAGAGCTAGCATTTGTTAATACCCCACTGTATGCCAGAAATTTTAATTAGCCCTGTATAATTATCCCTGCTTGCAGGTAAGGAGACTGCCTCACAGAGAGGTTAAGCTTTGGGCCAGCGGCCATAAAGCTGGCAAGTTGCAGAGCTGCAATTTGAACCCAGTGTGAGTGGCTTTCCACAGAGCAACATGGCTTCCCTACAGCTCCTCATACAGGGCTTGTCTGGACAGTCGATGCCCCAAAAAAACGAAACACAAATGAGCTACTAGCTGATTTAGTCACTAAAATGTTTCCCTTAGGGACCCAAGCCAAATGGGAGCAGAGGCTGAAGCCTGTCTTCTATGACCATTCTGGGAAACTGTGGCGAGGAGTTGCCTGCTGACCCCAGAATCACCAGCTCCTCATTCACTCTCTCTATCATGGGTCAAGGCATTGCACTGGACACTGTGAATTCAATGAGGATATCCTTCCCTGACATCTTTTGATCTTACTCGATGATAGCAATAAAGGGATACATTCAAAACAAAAATATTGGGCAGAGAGAGAATGGTGTTGGGTAATGGCTTGGGCTCCAGAGTCAGACTGTTCAAGCATGAGTCTCTCTTCTGTCATCGACTGGCTGAGGTTAATCTTTTTGGAGCAATTTCTGAAATGGGAAGAGGAGTGTCTACCGCACAGGGAGGGTGTGTGGCTCAAATGCCGCGAGAGCTTGGCAGGCATCCTTTAATAATTGTGGGCCTCTAATGCTGCCATTATTATTATTGTTGTTGTTGTTGTTGGCTGTGAAGATCAGATAGGTGGTGTTGGGCTCAGCCTGTCACCCCCCTCGCCTCCCTGGGGCGGCGGTCGGCACCTTCCTTGCGGTCCCCTTGGCCTGCGTCCCCGCGGTCACCCTCAGACTCCTCCACGCCCTGCTCCACGCCCGGCTCCTGAGCGCAGTCCTGCTCTTCTCCTCCGTCAGCCGCAGGCTCCAAGGCCTCGGGGTGCATGTTTACTCCGGAAACACCGAACACCTGTAGCAGTGGGGAGACCCGTTGAGCGGGGTCGCTATGGCGTTCAGCCGCGCCTCACTTTCATTTACCGCCGGCCACTCCAGCCAGGGTCTTCGGCAGTCCAACGCTTCCCTGATCTCCACGGCAACCGCCGCGCAGGCGCACTTAGGCAGGCCCGCGCGTCTGGACGCCTGGGGCGGGCCCTACAACGGCTCCGCCCCCGACGCGCGCGCGGGTCACGTGGGGGTGCGGCTCTCGACAGCTGCAGTGGCGGTGACAGGAGTGGCGGTCGCGTGGGTCCGGCGGGAGCATCTCGGATAGTGCGTCGTGTCTGCAGGTACCGCGCCCCCGGTGTCCAGCCCCGGGCCCAAGGCTCGCCTCATCCCCTTCGGCGCCTACGGGGCTTCGGGCCGCCCCTCCCTCCTTGTCCTACCACGCCCCCCGGAGTCGGTGCCTCTTCGCGCCCCGGGACCTCAGACCCCCTCGTCTTTCTCTTCTCTCGGACCCCCACCCCCATCACCTCTCCCTTTAGACCCGTGCCACTGTCCCAGCGCCTTTCCCTAACTCCATCCCTACGTTGCACCCCAGAAGACCTTCTCTTCTGGGCCCGTCCCCTTCATACAGAATCCAGATCTGAGGCCCCACCCACCCCGAGCGCGGGGCCCCCTTTACCCCAACACGCTGACCCGGGTGTTCCCCACGAGGCTATGAAAATCAACCCCTTTGTCCGTGCTTCTTTATTCTCATTTCCAAAGGACTTGGTTTAAGTGGGATTTGTTGACGTTGTCTTTGTTCTGAATTAGAAGTAATTTAGAATAAAGGAGCGCTTGAAGAAAGGGCCCCACCAGTTCCCGAAGCGGCGATCGTTTGCTCGGGCTTGCTTGGCCCTGCCAGGTACTGGAGGAGAAGGGTCTGGAGACCAATGAGGCTGCCCCAGTCCAAAGGAACGTACAGCCTAGCAAACCAAATCCTGTGGCTTTCTCCGTGATGCCAGCAGGATGTGTGCGGGCGGGGGCGGGGGTCTCACAGTGGGCCTACCAGCCAGGGTTCTGGACTTTTATAGACCTTGATCTGAATGCCCACTGCTCACTTCTTAGTTGTGGAGTCTGGGTATGTTACTTTAATCTCTGTAAGCCTCAGTTTCCCCATCTGTAAACTGGGGATGATTATAATTCTGCCTCGTAAGGTTGATGAGAGAATAAGTGAGCCAATAGGAATAAAGCACTTAGAATCTTGCATAAACAGCTCTCCCTGACCCCCACAAATAGCCAATAGCTAACATTAAACACTGAATTATAGCGGCTAATAGCTAAGGTTTATTGAGCACTTAGTCCCAGACGCTTCTAAGTGCTTTATGTGTATGACCTCATTTAATTCTCATTATAATCTTAGGCAGGAACTGTTACCCCCATGTTTAGAGTTGAAATAACTTCACCTTCACCCAAGACACCATTTACATGGGGAGCCTGGATTTGAATCCCAGAAGTCTCTTTTCGGGGTTTGTGATTTTAATTACTACAGTAATAGTCAAGGAGTGTGGTATTTTTTTTAGTTGAATTTTTTTAAAGATAAAATTTACATAAAATTCACATTTTCGCCATTTAAAATAATACTTTTTTCATAGCAGTGTACAGCTATCACCACTACTTAGTTCTAGAACATTCCCATCCCAAAAAGAAATCTCATCACATTAATAGTCATTCCTCATTTCCCTCTCCCCCTCTACCCAGCAACTCTAATTTACTTTCTGTCTCTGTGGATTTGCCTTTCCTAGACATTTCATATAAATGGAATCATGATATTTGGCATTAGTCTTCTTTCACTCAGCACAATGTTTTCAGGATTTGTCTGTATAGTAGCATGTATCTGTACTTTATTCTTTTTATTGCTGAATATTCCATTATGTGGATAGACCACATTTTGTTTTTCCATTCATTTGTTGATGGACATTAGAGTTGTATCCACTTTTTAGCTGTTGTGAATAATGCTGTTACGAATATGGCTATAGAAGTTTTTGAGTGAGTGTAAGTTTTCAGTTATCTTATGTACCTCGGAGTGGGTGCTATTACTATTTTAATTCCCACTGCACAAACAGAGACATGAAACTGAGGAGTATTGGACCTTGGGCGAGCACTCCCATGTTCTGCTCTTTCCACTTAGCTTCCCATTAATTCAGTTTAGTGGTCTACTAAAAATTGGCAAAGGAAGGTAAGGAAATTCCAAAAAGTCATGATATACCAATAATAACTTTGTCAAAGTGCTGACACAAAGTTTGAGAAGCTCCTTAAGATTTTTCTCCTCAAGAATGAAATTTGAGCTTTGAATGCAAAGCAGTATTTTCTTCTGTTTATTAAATAAGTATTGTATACACAGCACCATGCCAGATCCTGAGGAGGAATATTAAAGATGAATGTGAGCCCAGCCTCACACCTTCACAAAGCTGTAGGAGGATTAAAGACAAATCAGAAAAGCAAACTTGTAAAAGCTTTGAGACAATAACATAGAAAAATATCTTTATAACCCAGGGCTAAGACAAGATTTCTGAAATAAAACATAACAAGCACAAACCATAAAGGGAAAAGATTGATACATTTGACTATATTAAAATGAAGACATTCATTTCACTGAAAGCACTGTAGACAAAACATACAGAGAACTAGTATCTAGAATATAGAAAGAATTCTTATAATTCTGAAAGATAAGACAACGCAATAGAAATAAGGCAAAAACTAGGAACAGGCATTTCCTAGGTGAGAAAACAAGCATATAAATATCAGAAGAATGCCAGTCAATCTTATTAGTAATCAGGAAATGTAAATTAAAACCATAATGAGATCCCATTTCACAGCGCCCACTGGGCAGAAGGTGAATTGTTGGACATTGCCAGCCATTGAGAAAGAGGCACTGTGAACTCATATTCCTGTTGGGCGTGCAGATTGATTCAGCCACTTTGGCAGTGTCTACTTGAATGCATGGCTGCCTTGTGGCCTAGCAGTGTGACTCAGGCGTATCCCCTTGAGAAATCCTTGTACATGTGCCCAGGAGACATGCACAAGAATGTTTATGGCACCACTGATCATAATTATAAAGTAAAAACCAACAAAAACAACTCAATGCCCATCAACAATAGAAAGGATATATGAATATGATATTTGTACCATGAGATAGTGTGCAGCAGTGAAAGTATGACCTACCTACAGCTATAGGAGCACGGATGAGTCTCGAAAACGATATTGCGTGAAAGAAACAGGTCACCAAAGAATACATGCAGTATGGTTCCTTTATGTAAAGTTCAAAACCAAGCAAAATTGAATACTATTATTTCAGAATCCATGCTGGGGTAATAGTACAACTATTGGAAGGGAAAAAAAAGCAAGGGAATGATTGTGTGGGAATTTAGGCAAGTAGTTCCCCCCAGGGTGGCGGAAGGGGGTATGGTCAGGGGAGAAGTATTTGCAACTTCTAAGACTGATTATATGTATGAAGTAGGGTAGCTCTGTGGGTATTTTGTTTTGTTTTTTGAACTGTGCATTATAGGTTTTACAACTTCTGTGTGTATTTTTCGTTTTCTTTTTAATTATAGAAAAGTTAGTTTTAGATAACATTTCCTGCCCTCAGGAGGCCTGTGCTCTAGTTGGGGAACCAAGATAGATACAGAACCAAGTAAATGCTTAAGTAGAAATCAGAGCAGTGTGGTAAGTGCTTCATGGCTAAGAGAGACAGGGAACTCAGAGGTGGGGGTTGGTGTGATGACCCAGGAAGGAAAGGGAAGAGATGTGTGGGCCTCCAGTTTATTCCCGGGGTCTGGCATGTCAGTCGGTGCTTGTCAGTGAATGCTGGGATTGAGCTGAAGGGAAAGAATGGGACTTGAGCTGTTCTTGGACAGACAGGATTTGAATGCTGAGAGCAAGCCAGATCCAGACGCTGTGTGAAAGAAGTAAGATATCTCTGGGGCCAGGAAGGAAAGGGAAGAGATGTGTGGGCCTCCAGTTTATTCCCGGGGTCTGGCATGTCAGTCGGTGCTTGTCAGTGAATGCTGGGATTGAGCTGAAGGGAAAGAATGGGACTTGAGCTGTTCTTGGACAGACAGGATTTGAATGCTGAGAGCAAGCCAGATCCAGACGCTGTGTGAAAGAAGTAAGATATCTCTGGAAAAAAAAAAAAAAGTTAATGAAAATAAAGTCCACACCCTTGGAGCCTTACTGAAGAGTTGGACAGTGCCAGCTGTTGATGTTGGTGAGGACCTCATGTCTGTCCCAGTCAATTGAAGATCATGGGAATCTCTGAGGCTACTTTCTGATTCCTGAATACACTTGAAAGTTTTGGTTTAAGGGATGTTGCAGGATTTGCAACTTGTCTCTTTATTGTTCTAAAAACTAGACCGACAGACCATTTCTTCTTCTGTCCATCCATCCTAATTTCCTATGGCTGCTGTAATAAATTATCACAAATTTAGTGGCTTAAAACAAAAATTTATCATCTAACAGTTCTGGATGTCAGAAGTCTGAAATTAGTCTCACTGGGCTAACCTCAAGGTGTCAGCAAGGATGTGTCACTTTGGAGGCTCCAGGGCAGAATCCACTTCCTTCTGCCGGATTCTAGAGGTGCCTACATTTCTTGACTTGTGAGCCCACTCTCCACCTTCAAATTCAGCAGCCTAGTGTCTTTACTCTGACCCTCTGCCTCCATTTAATAAAGATACATGTGATCACATTAGACCCATCTGGATAATCCAGGATAATCTCCCCATCTCAAGATCCTTAATCACATCTGTAGTTTCCTTTGCTACGTTAGGTAACATATTTAAACGTTTGAGAATTAGGATGTGGACATCTTGGAGGGCCTTTATTCAGATGACCACACTACCATTCGTTTGGTGATGCTTTGTCTTCTTCCCATGATACTTTATTTTCTTTGAAAACTTTTGCCCAATTCGTCTTACGTTATTTTACCATCCATTCCAGGTATTATTCGGATAGTTTGGTGATGTCTGTGTTTCAGCCAAGACACTTTCCCAGAACTCTTGATTCATGAAGTTTTTTATACAGGTATGTGGTGGAATCGAACCACAATATCTCTGAGGTATGCCTGTATTAGATTCAGTTACCCTTTTTACTGCTGAGTTGAGTCATCCAAACTGTAGGTCAGGATAACATTACAGGCCACAGCAGTTGTACTTTGAGAAGGTGACTTTGTTCCATGCAGTTTTTTTTTTTCGATAATTTTCATTTTTCAATTAAAGTTGGCATACAATATTATATTAGTTTCAGGTGTACAACATAGTGATGTCCCTTGCAGGTTTGACCATAATTTTCTCATGACATTTTTATAGTTGTAATGTTACCTTTAAGTTTTTTCTTTTAAGGATTTTTTTTTTTTCAAGAGCAGTTTTTTGGGGGAGCAGTTTTAGGTTTGCAATAAAATTCAGAGGAAAGTACAGAGATTTCTCCCTTCTCCCACACATGCAGAGCCTCCCCTGTTATCAACATCACTAACAAGAATGGTACCTTTTTTTAAACCAAGGATGAACCTACACTGACACATCGTAATCACTCAAAGTCCATAGTTTACCTAAGAGACCTTTAAGTGTTTGAATTAGATCTGATGAATTTTGCCTTATCGAAGTATTAAATGCCTAACGGACAACAGAGAATTGCTTGTCTTTTCCTATTTTGGAACAGTTATGATTTACTATTTTCCTGTACCTGTTTCTGATTGTTTTGATGTTTTAGTTTTCTGTAGAGGCAAGAAAATAAAGCTTTATAATAACTTACAGGTAGGTTGTACAGAATTTTACTGTTTTATTGTTGTTTTAAGTAATGGATTTCTCTAAGTTTTAGACTAATGCCTATCCACAGAGAAATTAGTAAGTCAAACCCCTAAAGCCAGTTAAATGCAGCTTGATAGCTATACATATCTTGGTCGGTGTCTAGACTTAACTGAGATAAACTCCTTTAAAACTGTTTCCGTGAGCTTTCCTAGAATTTAATGGCTTTGGGAGAAGTCTTGATTTCTTCTTTAATTAGAAAGACGTTTTCCATCATGTACTTAAGGATGGAGAAGAGGATTGAGAGGATGTAAGGAATTTATAATTTCCTTTTATTTTCTTTCGATTTATGATCTATCGAGGTATGAACAAATCTGTGAAAATGGTATGTCTGAGGAGCAGCAAGAAATCAATCACGAAGCCATGAGTTCTCAGTCTAGCCTTGCTTCATCCCCATCTGCACAGTCAGGGTTAAGGACTCTTCATTTCCTGCCTGCCTACCTGCATGCAGCTCCCACACCTTCTGCAGCAAACCCAGTAGCTCCTGCCTTTGGTGTAAGGGACTCATTCAGAGAGTAAAGCCATGTGATTCCAAAGGCATTTCACGATCTGGCCTCCCTTCCCACTCCCCTTTCCACCCCAAGGTGCACATCCTGTTCTATAAGCAAAGCAGGCAAGACCTTTTACAATGCTGGGTCCTTGCCTCTCTTGCCTCCCTTTCCACAATGCATCTTCAATAGCTCCCTTTCCACAATGTGTTAAATGGCTCTGTTCATCTTTCGATGCATTCTGTATACACAGGGTGGCAGGGACTCCTGGCTTACTTGAGACAGGTCCTTAGTGTCTGACATGGAGTTTTCTTCATTGTTGTTCTAGTAGTTTGGATTTCCACGTAGACTTTCCTATAGACCAGTGACCATGTGTATTTCGGCTTCTTGGCTCTATTGTCTATTATTCATAAATAAATCGACATTTTAATCTATCAGTCTTCTGTGAGTTTTTTTGGTGTGAGTCAAATTTCCAACTTGAGTTACCTCTGGGGAATGACCAAGTTGTCTTTACCTCAAGCTGAAGATCAGACCTAGGATGTTACCAGCCTTCTGATTATCTGTAGTTTTTAAAAACTAGCAATGATAATACATGTTTAAGGTATTCGTCTGTGATAGAACTGTAATGTTAACATATGGTGATAGTATTCCCCCTTACAAGATGGTGAAGGGAACTCAGATGGGTAGAGTCGAGAAGCAGGGCCAACCTGGAGTGAAGCCCCTTGACACCACTGTTCACAGCTCAGCCCTAAAGTCTGTGCGTCTCTCCTGCTGGGCCCGTGCAGGAGGTCCCTGGTGGGGTTTGCACATGAGGGTTTTCTTCCTCTAAAGGATCAAAGGAGTTTGTTTGGAGTAGGGGAACAAGATAGTATTTAGAGGCTGAGAACTAGATGGGAAAAACAGCCTGGGAGCTGAGCAGAGACTGGGTAGTACGGTTTAGTGCAACAGACATCTGTTGAACTCCTGAGCTGTGCCAGGGGTTGTGGAAGGTGCTGGAGGACGAGAGGAGTAAGATTTGGCCTCAGCCCTAGAGGAACTCAGCCTCAAAAACAGACCAGTTATAACACAGTGTCTAGAGTGGAAGGAGAGGGAAAAGGTGTACCAGAGTTTGTTTTCATTTCCTCATTCTTACAGTACCTGCCCCACTTACAGGCTAGAAGGGGCTGTTCCAGATACTGCAGGACGCTTCCTCCCCGCCACCTCCACTAGCTGATTAGACAAGTGCTGGATACCTGAGCTCAGGCGGGCCAGCCAGAATCTCTGCCAGGAATTTGGAATAGTGATGCCAGGTGGGTGCAGTCATGTGGAAGTTCAAGTGCTCTGCAGGTAGAGCGCAGGAACACGGTTTGCAGAGAGAAAGCTGAGGTGGAGGTGGTGGGGGGGAGCCCAGGCAGACACACCAGGGAGCAAGGGAGAGAGGATGGCTGTGGCTGCCTCCCTTCCTGGCCGGCCTCTTCCTGTGCATGTGTCCTGCACTCACGGTGTCTGTGCAGAGCACCATCTCTCTCTCTCTCAGCTATTTGAATAGGTTTTGTCCCATTTGATGAAATGTTCCTTAAGAAAAAAGGTGCAGGGAAAGGGGTCACATTCCAGCTGAGCCTTTCACCAGACGGAGGCTACTGGTGCCTTTTTCTGAAATGAAATGCTTTGCTGCCTGTATATACAGGGATCATGGCATAAGAATTTTTGTGTTTTATTTTCAAAATCTTTGATCTTAGTTTTACATAAAGTTTTCCCAGTTGAACTATGAGGGCAAAGGAAAGGAATTTGGTGCGTGTTGGTTTTTGTTCACAGGTTGACCTTAAAAGGAGACAGAGCAGCATATTACTGAAGGCCAGGAGACAAAGTAAGAGGGAAACATGGCAGTAAATGACTTGAGAAGAAAAATTGGGAAACTCTTGTGTAGTCGGGCATCTTCTGCTAGTGTTTTTCCTTTATAAATGTTCAAATTATTGAAAAAAATTGTCCTTAGCGGGGAACAAGTTCAGTTTCCCATTAGTACGAGGTCACTCCATGAGACGTATCTGAACTCCTTTTCAAGTAGAACCTTGTTGTAGACACTTCATGCAATTAACTTTCCCACAGGTCTTGCTTTGGCACAACCCATTAGATCTTGATGTATGTAATTTTTCATTGAAAACATTGTTTTAACATCTTAGATATATGCCCACCTGTTACTTAGAAGAATAAATTTAATATTCCAGTATCTAGCTTTTTGTCATAGTTTTGTTATTTCTAATTTTATTATATTTTATTTGAAAAGTACTAGAACAAGTGATTAGTTTTTGCATTTTCTTTCTCACAGCCTAGTATTTGATTACTTATGACAACAGGCACAAGTACACTTGAAAGCGTTATTTCAGGAACTTCTGACTTAACATGAAATCTTAGTTTTTATGTTCTTTCTTATAAGAAATTAATGTTTTGGCCGTTTCTTTAGGAATCTCGCAGTTAATACTACTCAGGGACTGTGACCAATGTGAACACTTTGATACCATGCCAGGTCAGGGGCATATCCAGTCAGCGCCCTGCCTCAGCAGGGACTTAGTTGTGTATTGAGACAGCAGAGCAAGGGGGTCTTTGAAAGTGAGTGGCACGTCATTTCCTCTTCTCTAGTGTGTGGAAACTTTGAGAGGCATTCGTGCAGAGCAGAAAAAGAATGAACAGTTTGGAGACAAATGTTCCTAACTTTGACTGTATTTCAAAGGGTTTGGGAGCAACAAGGATTGTTACTGCCTGTTGTCTGGCAGATCAGGGAAAAAAAGGTATCTTCAGTCCAAACTTTGTTGATCTTCGTATTTCATATTTTAGGAAATCTTAGCCAGTGTGGTCATGAAGAAAAATTACCCCAAAGGGGCATTTAATTGTTTTATTAAGTATTTGGTTTGTGCATTTAATAAAGTTTATAATGTTTTCATGATCACTCTTGATCATCTTATTGTGGGAGCTAAGTTTCTATGAACAGAACCCTAGTATATAGCACTTTACCCGTAGGAAATAAGGTGGCCCAACTTCAGTCACTTTTCTATGTTATTTGGAAAAACATTCTTTAATTTATTTAATGCCACATCAACTTAATTAGTAATATGGTTGCAATATAAAACTTTGATGAGAGATTATGTCCTTATTATGGGGCATTTACGAATCTTCCCGCCTATCAGTTTTTTTCAGTTTTATATTTCCTTTGTATGTTTTATTGGTTTTTAATTTGGACTATACATTCATATATATATTTAACATATAAATATTCATATGTATATTCAACAATTTAAAAAATCATTCTGTGTGCCTTTTATCACAATATGGTATCACTCTTACATAAACATATTCCATTTGTGGTTAATTTATTTTCTGCTTAGTTCAGTTTTTACTCTGTAACTTGGTCAAGCTCACATTGTAGTAGAGTGGGAGGGAATTCACTCATTTTTCCTTAAGCTTATGTCAGTTTTTGCTGCTGCTGTTGGGTATCTTCATACATTCAAGATTTATTTTTTTTAAATCGGATTTCTACAAGAGAGACTAATCCCAGACATATATTTCAGCTTAAAATCAACTTTCTTTCATATAATAAATGCTATATCCTTTTGTTTGTATAAATCCGAGCTCCCTGTAATTTAATATAGTCTGTTCTGGTCTGTTCGATATTTTGTCCGTCATCAATAGTGCAGAGCTGGATCAGTGGCTCCTCAGGTCCAGTCTAGGATGAAGTTTATCAGCCTTGGTCATGCCCAGCCTTTGTCTGTTCTGCAGGGTTCTCTCTGATTACAAGCACACATATATCAGTTCATATGGCATTTAAAATTATTTCGTTAAATGTATGTCTCTTAGGTACAGTTATTTAATTCATCTTTGACTCCTTAGCATCTGTCACAGCACATAGAACACAGTACATGGAACATAGTAAATTTGCAAAACATTAGCTTCAAAAATGATTGCTATGAGGATACTTAACAAGAGTTGTATTGGACTTTTCTCTCCTCAAACATAACGAGCCAAAAATAATGATGTACAAATTAAGTTAGTAAGATGGAGGAGTGCTTACCCCATTGTTATTTGAGAAAACCATTTCTTCAAGTTTGGGGAGTATTTCTTTATATATATATATTTATGTATATTATTTATACATAATATTTGTTTAATTTATGTGAAAGTTTATTAAAGCTTAATTTTGTCTCAAATGGACTGTAGGACCTTTGTGGCCAAGGCCATGTCTTAATATTCCTTCTATTTCTTCTGTTTTGTTTCTACATGGGTAATAGGCCCTCTGCACTTGCTGATTATGAATACTACAAAGAAACATTTCTCTCATATGTTATATGAATGAGTCCGCGCTTGTCATTGTACAGGGCTCACAGCTTTTTTAGGGCACTGAGCATATTGTGTTTATCTCTGTGGGTACAACGTGTAGCACAGGGCTTGAATTTTAGTAGAAATTTAGTAGTTGTGTTAACTAATCTCCTTGGTAGAAAAGAACTTTATAAACTACAAAAGTTAATGAAATTATAAATTGCTTGGATCCATGGGCTACATGCATTTGAACTGTTACTGTTATTGAACACAGAATTGTTAAGCTCTGATGTCCTCAGATGGCTTTCTTCACTCAGACTATGAATGTTCCTTTAACTTATTAAACAAGGTTCACCTCTTTCTCCCTTTCCCTGCAGGCTGCCATGGCTGCTGTTGACAGCTTCTACCTCTTGTATAGGGAAATTGCCAGGTCATGCAATTGCTACATGGAAGCTCTAGCCTTGGTTGGAGCCTGGTATACAGCCAGAAAAAGCATCACTGTCGTCTGTGACTTTTACAGCCTGATCAGGCTGCACTTTGTTCCTCGCCTGGTGAGCAGAGCAGATCTGATCAAGCAGTATGGAAGATGGGCAGTTGTGAGTGGTAAGAAATGAGATTTTGATTCTTGCCTAATTTAAAATCAAAATAATCTTTCCTGTTTAACTTGTATCTTAAGTTGGATGCATTATTTAAGGAGTTACTGAATGTAATGAGATGATTTCATGGGAACTTGCTGATGAAAAAATAAAATTCATTACTTCTGTTATGATTATGTTCACATTTCCTTACTGTCCTCTTCTTGGAAGACATTTGCTACAATTTTACTGTTTATTCTAACCTCTCCTATTCCCAGTTCTTCTCTAGCCCCACCTAGCTACACATTTGCCTTTAGGTTTTCTGTTTTGAAATTGTCCTTACAGACTGTCTCCACGTTCAGAAATGCTTTTCTTATTTTAAGTGTCATTTTAATTTATCATTGTTTCCCAGGAAAGTACCTCCTGGCACTCATTCGAGCTAGACAGAAGTTTGAAAACAGTTTTCTACTGTGTCTCACAATCAACTTGGTGAATGGAAAACAACTCTTCCTCTACCTATCAGGGTGTCTGGGAGAGTGTTGACTAGCATGTGTCATTCATCTTATGACATCGTGTTTGACTGATCAGTATTAGAATTCACTTTATATCTACTGTGATTCTTTCTCTGATTAAACCTGGGAATGGAAAGTGGGGTTTTTAAGGTTCATTTTAAAGATCTCACCACAAAAAGAGTAGGCTCACTTTTCCTGGTTGTATTGTAGGTGCAACAGATGGGATTGGAAGAGCCTATGCAGAAGAGTTAGCAAGCCGTGGGCTCAATATCATCCTGATTAGTCGAAACCAAGAGAAGTTACAGATGGTTGCTAAAGACATCGCCGACACCTACAAAGTAGAAACTGATATTATAGTGGCGGACTTTAGCAATGGCCGGGAGATCTATGACCCGATTCGAGAAGCCTTGAAGGACAAAGACATTGGCATCTTGGTAAATAATGTGGGTGTGTTTTATCCCTACCCCCAGTATTTTACTCAGGTCTCCGAGGACAAACTCTGGGACATCATAAATGTAAACATTGCTGCGGCTAGTTTGATGGTCCACATAGTGTTACCGGGGATGGTGGAGAGAAAGAAAGGCGCTGTTGTCACTATCTCTTCCGGCTCCTGCTGTAAACCAACTCCCCAGCTGGCTGCTTTTTCTGCTTCTAAGGTAATGTATTCCTATTTGGAAATGAAATCATAATGCAATCGGACGTTTATTTAATGGTTTGGTCCAATTTGTTGCGTTCTTTGTCAGCAGCTCATGTTTGCTTATGCTGTTTTGTTTCCTGAAATGATGAAAAGCAAGCTTTTTTTCTCCTGAATTTTCTTCCAAGTTCCAGAAAATTAAATGTCTTTTCCCCTGCTTCATTTTAACAGGCTTATTTAGACCACTTCAGCAGAGCATTGCAGTATGAATATGCTTCTAAAGGAATCTTTGTACAGAGTCTAATTCCGTTCTACGTGGCTACCAACATGACTGCACCTGGCAGCTTTCTGCACAAGTGCTCGTGGTTGGTGCCATCACCAAAAGTATATGCACATCATGCTGTTTCTACCCTTGGCATTTCAAAAAGGACCACAGGATACTGGTCCCATTCTATCCAGGTAACAGTATCCACTCAGTTGTTGCAATTAGGTTAATGCATCCTAAACCTTTCTAAATGATACAGGAGAATCTGATAGAAGCCTGATGCTGAAAGATGAGAATTGCAAATTCTGATTCTTAAACCTGACACTCTTATTAAGTCACTAAATTCTTTTTTATGGAATTATTATATTAAAAACATTAAAAAGTTCAATCTAAAAGATGAAATATGCTGCTTTAATATAAGTAGATGGTAGCAGTATAAAAGTACTGAGTTTATATGGAAATTTCAAAGTAAAAGAAGATTCTTCCAATGCTTTAGGGGGTACCTCTAAGTTAACAGCATAGTCCAAAAACATAAAACCACAAAATAGGTCTATATTTCATGTAACCATATGTCAGATAATATCTCAGTATAGTCTTGGACTCATTCTTTCAAAAGCATAGCATTTTTTTTTTAAGTTTATTGTTCAGGCATGACAAAGTTTTGGGTTTCTAGTATTTTAAAGGGTAACTTTGTTAAATATTTGAAAATTTGATTCTAAGTATTAGAGAACTCATAATTTATTTGTTTTAATAGACTTGTGTTTTTTTATCTGGCATGGTAAGTAGATATGCCCCAGTTTAGAATTCTTTTTTCTTTAGTACGTAGTTTTCTTAAATTACCAAACAGATATTTTTGGGGGCTCTTTGCATTAAGATGATTAAATTTACCATTACTGAATAAGTAGATAAGTAAATCAACAGTGAGTTTTTACTTTTATCAAAAGGTTTGGCTAAAAGTTTCTTTAATAAGAAGTAGTTTTATTTAAGTGGTTATTTCCAGGTCTTTAATTACTCTAGAGAAACCTAAAATAATTTTAGAAGCCACTGACCATGAAGATCCCTGAGAAGTGAAGATATAATGAGGGTGGGGTTTCAATGTAGCAGATATTTTGACTATATTTATAAAACACCAGCTTTTTCATTACAATTAAACTTTGTTCACGTTGATGAACTTTTCTTGAGAATGTTTATTTTTTCTGCCAAGAAATTCTATTAAGCTAATTTAATTCCTAGAGTAGTTTTCTTTACAAAGCTGTTAAAACTTGCCATTTTTTTCTATTTTCACTTTTATTTTATTCAGATTATTTTCAGCATAATCGATATTTTTTTCAATTTTACGACAAAGATTTGATTAATCGATCAACATATTGCCCATAGCAGATTTCTCTGATATCTTTTGCCATTGTGACTTTTATTTTGTAATCATCTGAATGCAGTTTTCTCAGATTGCAAAGATCTAAAATTTGTTAAGGTAACAATCTTCTGTCAATTATCAGCTTATAAGAAATTTACTGTATGAAATTTGACATGTCAACATAACTGTATAAAGTTTCGTGCTGTTTATTCCAGTTAGTTTTCTACATTACGAATTAAAGACTGTTTCTTGTCGAGAAAGGTGATAGATTGAACATGAGGGGTTAAAGGAAAGGAAGAAACAAAACATTCTTAGGGTTTGGGCTTCAGAACCTCATTGTTGCCACATACTCAGATAGGTAGCATGAGCAAACGAGATCAGGTTTTGGAGAAACAGTAAGAGTTTTACACATGCTAGATTTGAAGATTCTGGGAAATTGTCAAGAGAAGTGGAGTAGGCAGCTGTATAGATGGGAGTTCAGGTGAGAGGTTTGTATGGAGGTAAAGGCTTACCGGTCATCAGCATTAAGCTGGATAATCAATTTAATGGGTGGGTGACGTCACCCAAGGAGCATATGTAGAGAGACAAGACAGCTTGGTCAGAGACTCAAGGAACTCCAACATTCTAGGGGAAGGTAGACTGAGGAGGGCAGCCGATGGGATCAGTAGGAGAGGAGGAGAGTGGAACCTGGACACTAAGGGGAGATATGGTTTTCAGGTGGAAGGCATAGTTGTCAGTGTCATGGGATGCTGTCTGTCCCAAAGCATAAGGACCTACATGGCTGTTGGGTTTAGAATCTTGGAAATCCTTGGTGGCCTTGATGAAAGCAGTTTTGGAGGCATTCTAGGGAGCAGCTGGATTGCAGTGAGTAAATGAGTGTGAAGAAGATAGGGATGTGGAGACAGTATGCTCAAGAGATACATCTATGCAGGCGGTGGCAGGATGGATTGGGTCCAAGGAAGGAGTTCTGTTTGTTAGAAACCTATGCAAGTTAGCAGAGACTTGACTGTTATTTAGTGCTGAAGGGAAGGGGTGTGTGGAGAAGAAAAGCTTAAACACAGGAGAAAGAAGGTATGGTTCCTAGAAGTTGCAGGGGTAGGGCTGAGAGCATAAGTAGAGGGGAAAGGGTGTATGTAGACTTAGGAAATAACTAGAAAGCGATGGAGGCTAAAGGAAAGATTGGGAGCCCATTTGGAAGTGGATGCTCCTTTCTGATGGCTCCTGTGAGTTTGGGTCTGCTCAGAGTGAGGGCGAGGCAGAGGGAGTTTGAGGCTCGATAGAGTGAGAAGGTTTGAAATACGAATTGTGAAGAAAGGAGAGTGAGGCACTGGGAAAACACCAGAGGATTGCTGAGCGGGAAGGAGGCCCAAGTGATGGGGACCAAGAATTGATGGCGGCTTCAGTCTGTATGGCTTTTCTCCAGCAGCACTGAGCACATTTCATATGTATGCAGTACCCTTCTCGAAGCCACTTCAGAGATGACATCTAAAGTAATTTTGCAACATTTTACTGAGAACATTTCTACATTTGTATGAAAGGAGGTTATTTTTGATGAGCTTGCACAGAGGTTAGGAAGCCCGTTTCCTCACTCCTGACCCGTGCTCTGCCTTCTGTACACATGTCATTTCCTTACACACGTCCACACAACAGCATTTCTCAACATGAGCAGTATTAGACTGACTCACAAGCATGACTTCAACACAACTGTTCATGTAATTTAACAGTCACATCTTGTGTGTAATATGATTGTTGTCTTAATAAAGATTTGCAAGCAAAAAATAGAAAAAAATCATTTGGACTTAAATAGCTAGGAAGGAATCAAATGTATTTGCTTTAATTGTTAACTAGTTATTAATATTGGTTTGGGAGCATTTCTTGTCATTTTCAGAAGTGGCATCAGGCAATATTAAATCATCAGTGTCAGAACACATAGTTAGCTTGACAGAAAAAGAAGAGTTTTTGTTACAGCTTTCTGTGGTACTTGACACAAAGGCCAGAAACATGCTGGTATGTGTTTAGTTGAAAAAACAGTAAACTTGACAACTTGACTAGTAAGTCTCTTGCTTATGAATATGAGGACTGTGCGTCAGGTGATAGGATCCACAGAGAAAGCTCCAGGGACTGGGGAGTGGAGTGGGAGAATCTGAGCTCTCCAGATTGGCTCAAAGTCTTTTCTGAATTTCTGCCTACTCTTGATGTGTGTGCTACTACTGGAAAGAGAAAACCTGGCGTTGAGGGGAGAGGTGGCGCTTGGTGGAAACGAGAAGGCCCTGGGTCTGTATATTGAAATGTGGTGGGGGAAGGAGCAATATTTCTGGACATTGCCATATGTCCCTTGGTGGGCAAAGTGGCCCTGGTTGAGAACCTTTAGAGCAGAACAACATCAGCATTACTCCCTCCCTGGAACCCCAAGCCATCCTTATCACATCTTAAGACTGTACCAGGATCCTGGTATTTTTGACTCAGTTCTTATTTAACTTAACTCTATTCTACCCCTTCAACCTGTTTTCTCACTCAATATTAACCACACATGCATTTGTCTATTTCAACTCCCTTTTATTCCTAGAATGATTTTGTAGTTCTTAACTAAATGGACATACTATTAATGTCATGTTAAGTAAAGATGGAATCATATTATTGCTTGTAGGTCTGTTTGGCCTCATTTGGGAAAGGGGGAGGGTGGGTGGTGATCATGTTTCTATTCCCACTGAGTCTAGCATAGGGTCTTAATACAAAAGTAGGTGCTCAGTACAATCGCACCTAAGGGCTTTTTCCTTTTATGTGTTTAAAGTGATTGATGATATTTGTTGGATTAAATCATATGCTGACTTGTGCATTCAATGTCAGTGGCTTTGGGTTCTAACCTTAAGACCTTTTTCTCTTTCATTTTTAGTTTCTTTTTGCACAGTATATGCCTGAATGGCTCTGGGTGTGGGGAGCAAATATTCTCAATCGTTCTTTACGTAAGGAGGCCTTATCCTGCAAAGCATGAAACTGGATGATGGTTGCAAAGTTTTTCCAACTCACGGGAACCTGCAGTATTCTGACATTTGGAAGAACATGTTTAACTTATCTTCTGTATTTTCTTTTATTACTGGTTATTTAGTATACTGTTGACTCATTTGCAAAGCAAACATGATACTTTGAGAGAATGCTATGGAAAAATCTCAAGAGCCGCATGGTGGCACAGCATAAATAATGACTGAGGAACAAGAACTGATTGAGGAAACCTAAATTTCAATTCTTTTTTTCCTTAAGGTGTTCAAGAGTTGGGTGATTTATGTTCTTCTAGGAGCTACAGCAATCCGATATTGAAATATACTTATGACTTGTCACCTCTATTTCAAATGTTGTTTTTTAAGGGAAATTATCTAGTAGTTGGATTCTAGTATTGTTTTCAAATGTTCATCAGGAAAGACTAGTTAAAAGTGTTATTGTATGAGTAAGATTGCTGGTATTAGCAGTAGAAATCTGTGTGTATTACTATTGTGTAGCTCTAGTTGTTTGACTATCTGTGTAAGAAAAGTGCTGCTTTTCAACTGATATTTTATTAGAAAACCATATGTGTATGTATGTTGTGTGCATCTAGATAACTTTATTTATGGGTAAGTTACTTTAAAAAAGATTTTTTGTTAAGATGGCTTAACATGGAACCTTACAGGGTATTAAAATTCTAGATTATTCCTTTTTATACTAAATAAGCCTACCAAATTTTGTGCTATAGGTTTGCCATGTTTAATATTACTTAACGACATTCTTGGTTTGTTTTTTTTTAAATCTTCCATGGAATTAATTCATTCCTAGATTTGGACATGTAATGATTGATTTATAATTATTGTGGATAAATAATGCTTTTTCGGCTTATAACTGAAAGTTAGCTCTTTGGAATTTGTTAATCTGGTTTTCATATACTCTTCTATATAATATTCCATTCCAATAGCATTATTGGTATAAACATCAAGTATTTATGGAATGTAGTTAAAATATGAACAAATTATGTGTGTGATATGATGTATCTGTTGAAATAAGTTAGAAGCTCATTCTTGGTTCTTGTAATTAACTTACACATTACAGTGAATACTTTTATTAGTGTGAAGATAATTATGCACAACCCACAACAATATGGCTTAGCATTGAAACCTGTGAAATGTTTTTGGTTCTGGTCCTATAAAGTCAAACATTTTTGAGGACACATACCTACTGCTTTGACAGTTGTAAATCACTATATGAATATGTGTGCAAGTTAAAATTTTGGAGTTTAATATTGAGACACCAATGCAGAAACTAGTAAATTGATTGAAATCAGAACTTTTCTGGCATTGTTTTCTCCTGAGATGATGTACCATTATGACTAGGCCTAAGCATCTTTTTATGTTATACCCACAATTTTGCCAGTGACATTGCCTCAGTATTTTCAAATGTGACTTGGAATCAGTTCAGAAACTTCCACTTCACTGATCAGGCCTTAATCACATAAGAGGAAGATATTCAGATGTGAAAATTTACACACTAATGACACTATGTATCACTGAAGGTTTTGATGGACTTGCTTGAAAGCCTTTATTTGGTCACATTTGGCATTTTTCCTCATCTAACAATTAATTTATGTCATTAAGACTAGAAAAAAAATTGACTTCATGCCACATTGACTTGAACTTTGACGTGTAATAAGCAGCAGCAACTTTATGTAAAAAATACCATATTTATATAAAAGGTGTTACGTGGTGCAGCATTGTTTTATATTTATAGATTAGGTATTGAATCATTGTTACATGATGAGAATAAATAAACCATGTCGATGATGTTTTAAAATTCTCTGCTTGACAGGATGTACGTAAATAAGCTGATTGGTCCAAAGTTAGTGAAAAATCAAAACCAAGAATCTTCCTTCTGTTTTGTCTTTCATAAAATACTTTTCTCCAGAGCTCATTTGAGAGTCATAATTGGACCACTGTAGATGGAGTTTCTTATTAAGAATGTGGGAAATAAGAGCCTTTTAAATAATCTATGAACTGAAAATTTAATAATGAAAGCGGTTGCTTCTTCCTTTGGAAGAGGTTTTGCTCTCTATGTTTATGAATTGGTTGTCTGGAATGAGAGATACATTTTTTTCCCCCATAGAAATAATTATTTTAAAATTACAAAACTTAATCTATGGTAGTAATTCATTAAGAGCTTGTATTTCAGCAAGAACATTGTATATAACCATGTCTTTTAAAGTACTAAGTTGATTTCTTGATCTCATTCTCCTGATAGGTTAAGTAAGATGGTTAATTGTGATCATTGACTTTGGCAGCAATGTGGAGGTCACTGGCAGTTTTGCCATGAGCTATTTCATCCAGTGGTGGGGTGAAAGGTAGACTGTAGTGGTTTCAAGAAAGAATGGGAAGACCAAGGGAGACAGCAAGGAGAGATAGCTCTATCAAGGAGTCTTTTTGTTTTGTTTTAACCTAAGTTACTTAAAATCTTGTCACATTTGGGAATCAGAGGGTTAGGTGGATTCCTCCATCTTGACAGTGTGCCCTCTGAAACCAAGTCCAGTCTTTCTGTATCTCTGTCTCAGTATTGGCTAGGCTGTTACTCTTAAAAGAACATTTAGTTTCAATAAAGACTTACCTTCCATGGAATTGTGAATACTTTATTACACACATGAAGCTTGAGTTCAGACAGTTATTTTACAATCTGGAGTAGTGGAAAACCTGGAGACCAGGATCCTATGGGTCCATCTCTGTCTCATGTTCCGGTCCTCTTCAGTTTATAGGATTCTCAGGAGCTGGCAGCATTCTCTCCCCCATTTTGGGGCTTCACTACCACATGACAAAGATGTTTGCAATTCACTAGCCTATCTCAGTCCATAACAGTTAGGCTGTGTGTTCAATGGCATTGTGAATTAAAGGGGTGTTCAAAGAACCCTGGGCAAGACCAATTTACCCCAAATTAGAACAACGCAGTTATATTTAAGATTAGGTGTATTAATAGTGCATTAAGGGAGTGCTTAACTTTGAGGTTTTACAAATGCAAGAATCAAGAATTCTTTGAAAATTCCTAACATTGATGCAATCTCAAAGTGGGAGTTGGGAATTTAATCAGGTGTGGGTTTATCTACATATAACCACCACCATTCACTGAACATGTCTGACTCGAGCTCTGTATGTGTTTTATTTAACCCTCATTCTATGAGGTAGGTATTAATGTCTCTTTTTGGGAGGTGAGGAAGGGAGGTACAAAGAGCTGAGGTACAACTTGTCCAAGATCACAAAGCTAGAGCTGGTGATTATATTAAATGTTCGGTTAAATGTTAAAGAGAGGATGAAGTGCTGTGATTTTTCGTCATATTGGTACCATTCCGAATTGTGGTGCAGTGGAAAGATCAAGATATGAGCAATTTTATCTAAATAGCAGATAACTTTTCATTAGCATTACCTAAAACATATTTTCAGTCCTCCGGTTGTGACCGATGCCAAATGTGGGCCAGTTCAGCATTTAGATAGAAATCCTGGTATCCAAATCACCGAGACATTTTTGAAAGGCAAACTATTGAGCTTAATACATTCTTTTGTTTCTTCAAAAGGGCAACCATCTGGCGTTAGTGGTCCAGGCGAGGTGGCGAGGGGTTAGGAGTGGTGCAGAAGGGATTTGGAGCAGGGTTTTTGCCTGTCAGGGTGGGAGTCCAGTGACTGACAATAGACTTACAGGTGATTAATCCGCCGGCCCGCATCTCAGTGCCGCGTCAGTGAAATGGGTAGAGTTTTGTAGAGTGGGGGCCTGGGAGCCTGGCTTTATTTGGGACACCTAAAGCCCTCAGGAAGAGAGCGCTAGAATACTAGCGTCAGGCGTTTACAGAAAATGCTACCAAAGGGGGCCTTTCTCTCAGCCTCTTCCTTCGTAGAACTTGGCCCAGCGCGGCCGCTTTCAGCCCTGTGCGGGTTCCCCAAGTTCCTGGCTCCCAAACTCAACGAATTCCACTCCAAGCCACTTCTACCGAACATTTCTCCGGACTCCGTCGGGGTTCGAGAAAGATAACCACGACCCGCCTCAGGGCCTCAAATGTCGCGAGATCACCCCAAGCTTTCCTCGGCGTCTAGAGCGCGCACGCAAGCCACACGCAGGGCACGCACAGCCGGCGGGGCTGGCGTTCCCAGCCATCACTCTCCCCGCCCCGATCGCGCGGTGTCGCGAGAGTTGGGAGTAAACAGCCCCGAATGGAGACCCGGGGCGTGTTTGCCTCTGAGGCGCCGTTATCCCGGGCCTGTCGGACCCGAGCTTGAGGCAGCCGCAGGTACGTCAGGCGGTCCGTTCCCCGGAGCCTCCGCCTCTCCTCTTGACTTGCTTGGCCGCCCGCGCGGTCAGGTGTGCCCACCGCGTCCGAGGCCCCGAGGATGGGGGTCTGCGTGCGCGGTGGCTGGGCCCTCCCAGCGACCCTGACCGCGGGGAGTGAACCCCGGGCGCGGTGCGGGGACGAGGGGGCGTGCGGTAAAGCTAGGCATTTAGACGCACCGGCTACGCGGCGTGCATGGCGGTAGGAAATGAGCGGTCCTCTCTCTTTTGGCCAGACCCAGCCGGGACTTAAGGCTGGGGTCCCTGCCTGGCCCTTTCTACGTGTTTACACGGGGTGGTAGCTGGCACAGTTTGAGCATTCTCTTTATGTGAAATAAACTCTAATGGAGTGAAACAATATGCTTGGCCTTGGCCCTCAGCCTCCGAACATACTATTAGTGCTAGGTCTGCTCCCAGAGAGGTGCTGGTATCAGATTTTTAAAATGACCTCAGTTCTTTGCTTCATCCCAGTCTGTACACCCTGCTTCACTGATTTTCCAGAATCCAGTGTAAGAAGCTCATCGGCAAGTTTGGCCTCTAAGACTGGTTCAGTCTCAGAACCAGAATAACTTTCAGACCTGTAGGATCTTAACATTTTGCCTTGCCCTGTCATGATGTGCTTCCTAAGACTTAAAGATCATCAACGAAATTTTCATTAAGATGTTTTGCCCCTTGTTTTGGTTAGAGCCTCTAAGAATCTTGGCCTATTTGTGCAAATTAAGTTAAGTATTTACATTTACTTTAACGTGCTTCCAAGTGAGATAGAATGGCATAAAATCTGAGTTGAACTCAGGAGAATTTAGTTTCCTCTGGCCTTTTAGTCTTAGTTATGATAGTAAGTGCCTCTCTAACTTCAGAGTCTCGGTTTGCACATGTATAAAATCGAGGGGCTTGGAGAACAGCGATTCTTCCTAACTTTTTTTTTGTATCCAATTCACCTCTTTTATATATCTATATATATTTTGCTTTGCTCTGCTCCTGACAGCTCCTGCTGGTTTGGATTTGATCTAGCTCTTTATACCACTTACTCCTGACTCTGTTCTGCCTTTCATTCAACATTTGGTCTCCCATTGCACTCCATTTATTGCTACATTTTAAACATGCAGTTGAGCACTTTTAAAACACCTGAGTAAAGAGTTGTTCTTGGGACAGCAGTCAGTGATATAATTCGGTGTACTACTCCTTCAGTATTCCACTCCTTTATTCAGCTCCAGCTCCCTTGCTGGTACCTTGTTTTTTTCTCTTTCCTCCGTCCTGTATCCTCCTGCTCATTCC